TTTCAAACTAGCTGCTCAGAGGCCGGCAGCGGCAGGCGGGGAATGTTGGAGTCCTCCGTCACTGAAGCAAGCAAGCCTCCTGTTAGCTTTAAGCCTGGCTGCTGATAGGATATATATACTGGGGGCCCAGTGCACAAATTCATGCACCTTGAAGGGAACTATGGACCATGAGGCTGCGGTAGGCACAGGGGCGGGTCTCGACCCATCCTCTGCACCCCTGCCTGGCCCCTCCCACCACAGCTCCAGTCCCCTGTCTGCCAGCAGCCCTGCTCCCACTGCCTCCACTCCCACACACTGACGGCCATCCTCCTGGCACCCGCTGACTGCGCGGAGTGATTAGGGCCAGCGCCATCAGCAGGTGCAAGCTGGGGCTGCTGCCTGATTGCCCCTCAGGAGCAGGGGGAGGTGGAGAAGCCCTCAGGAGTGATCGGGGCTGGCAGCCAGTGTGAGCAGTGGCTCCAGGGCTGGCAGCAGGTGTGGGCGCCAGCAGCAGGTGCGAGCGCCCAGCGGGACCGCGGCATGTGGGAGCAAAGAATTTTCAGTAACCACCAGAGGCTCACACTGATGACAGTGACCAGCACACTGCCTTTGTCTGGTGCCCCTACTCACCTGCTCCACCATCTCTCCTTGGCCGATGCCCACTATGTTCCGCACTCTGCCACCTGCTGCTAATGCCCGCCATGTTCCGCACATGTCCCCTGGTGGTCAGCGCATATTATAGTGACTGGTTGTTCGGTTGCTTGGTTGCTTGGTTGTTCCGCTGTTCTGTCTATTTGCATATTAGGGATATATATATATATATACACACACACATATATATACATATATATACACACACATATACATATATATATACACTCTTTTTTATAAAAAAAAATATATTTTATTGATTTTTTACAGAGAGGAAGGGAGAGGGATAGAGAGTTAGAAACATCGATGAGAGAGAACCATCGATCAGCTGCCTCCTGCACGCCCCCCCACTGGGGATGTGCCTGCAACCAAGGTACATGCCCTGGACTGGAATCGAACCTGGGACCCTCCAGTCCGCAGGCCGACGCTCTATCCACTGAGCTAAACTGGTTAGGGCTATATATATATACTCTTTACTAGTTTATTGAATTTAAAAAATTGAAGATCCCGCATTTTTAAAAGGTCTTTTTACATAAAGTAGAATTTCTAATTGACAGATTTGGAAATCAATCTGAATTGGACAAACTATGGACTCAATACACAGATGAGATTTCCTCATACCATTACCTTGACATGGATTTGATACCCACCCTCAAAAGAATCCTATAAAAAATTGCTTCAAAGCCCCTTTAAAATTGCAATAGTGCAGCAAAACCACAAGTAATCCACTGCCTATTAACCTGTTATTTTAAATATAGCCTGAAAAGCCAACAGGCATTTTTTGTGCAATTTTTTAAAACATTGTAAGATGAAATATCAAATCTGCACAGTGCTGTCCCTTCACAGAAGGTAAGAAAACGCCAGCCCATCATGTTGGAGGCTGGCCTCAGTGCTGTAGGCTATGAAAGTGGGCCTCCTTCAGGGTCTGGTTGATGTGGAAGTAAAGACCTTGGCATAGTGCAGACTGCTCGAGTGCGGGCTGAGGGGTGTTGAGGCTGGACCCGGTGACCATGTGGTTCAAGCTACTTTCTAGCCCACTGGCCCTGTCCTGGCTGTTGATGCTGCTGCTGCTTCCACCACTGTCACGGCTTGAAGACTGTGTCCCAGGAATCGGGAAAGACAGGGTTTCTACTACTCCTTTTGGTCTGTGGGGGGAGATGGTGGTTCTCTTCATTGCCATTCCTTCTTTTCCTGGGGCGGAGGTGCTCGCTCCTGTTCCTTTTCTAATTAAAATACTACAACCAAATGTTTAGACTAGACGTACCTTTCTAACTTTCTACCTTTAATCCTAGACCCTTTGGGTTTTATACTGATAATGTTGAAAATATTCTTAACTGACAGATCAGAGTTTCAAGTGGTTTGATAAGTCAAATATGACTTTTCGTAAGTGGACAGACCAAGATGAGGAGGAGGATCTGGTTGACACCTGTGCCTTTTTGCATACCACGACCGGAGAATGGAAAAAAGGAAATTGTGAAGTTTCTTCTGTGCCAGGAGCCCTTTGTAAAGCAGCTAGTAAGTATAATTGAAGACCTTTTTCCAATCTAAGAGGCATGGGAAAGTAGGGATGGTTTTGAAATAATTTTATTTGAGATAAGTATGCCTCAGGGGAGGGAATAAGACTTCAGAATACATTAGGGTGGTTTGTTCTCAAATCTCTTGGAAGTCAAGCATTAATTCTCTTACATTTCAAAGGTTGGGACAGATCAGGTGAACCACATACTTAAAAAAAAGATTATCTTTTTGTTGAAAATATTACAGATGTCTCCCTTGCCCCCTCCCCTGGCCTTCCCCGAACTATTGTCTGTCCATGGGCTATGCATATATGCATATAAATTCTTTGGTTAATCTCTGCCCCATCCCTCTGAAATATCAGTCTGTTCCATGCTTCAATGTCTGTATCTTTTTTGCTGGTCAGTTTATTTTGTTCATTAGAGTCCACGTATAAGTGAGATCATGTAATACTTGTCTTTCTCTGACTGGCTTATTTTGAACCACACATACTTTTATTCTGTCTGCTTATTCTTAAGAGTTTGTAAGAGGTCAAAATTCCTTCTGTTGTTCAGAGGAATTATCATAGCCCCTTCGCATGTGATTTGATTGAACAGTGAAAGTGGTGAATGAAGACTCCAGGATTCTAATGTTTAAAAAGAATTTGATTCTGTACAAGAATGAGTATCTTTTCTTTGGGCAAAGAAGATTTTTGTTGTAGTTTATAATTTATTCTGGATTAAAATTTAAGTTTTCTTCTGATCCATCAGAATACTTTCTAGTGAACAAAATTATTCTGACACAAAACATTAAATTAAAAAAAAGAATCCTCACCAGAGGATGTTTTTTATTGATGGGAGAGGGAAAGGGGTGGAGGGAGGGGGAGAGGGAGGGGGAGAGGGAGAGATAGAGATCAATGGGTGCCTTCCGACTAGGGATGGAACCTGAAACCTGGGTATGTCCTGACCCGGTATTGAACCCTCCACCCTTTGGTGCACAGGACAACATTCCAACTGAGCCACACCAGCCAGGGCCTAACCCAGATTTTGATGTTATTATTAAACACTAGAGACCTGGTGCATGAAATTCATGCACTGGGGGTGGGGGTCCCTATCCAGGCCTGCGCCTTCTCACAGTCCAGGAGCCCTTGGGGGATGTTCAACTGCTGGCTTATGCCTGGGGAATGGGCCTAAGCCGGCAGTCGGACATAGTTAGCACTGCCACGGAGGTGGGAAAGGCTTCCACCACCACCACTGTGCTCGCCAACTATGAGCCCAGCTCAGGGCTTCTGGCTGAGTGGCGCTCCCCCTGGTGGTCAGTGTGCATCATAGTGACCGGTCATTCCGCCATTCAGTCGATTTGTATATTAGCTTTTTATTATATAGGATTACACAGTTAGTGTTCTAAGTTTTAGAAATAATTTTTTTTTCATTAGAGACACTTGAAATTTCAAAATTTTGGAGTGTGTGAAACAAGACAGCCATTTTCTCACTTTGCATCTTTAGTAATGCATCCTTCTACTTTAACTGTAAACCAAAACTATACACCTACCTCTGATCATTTCTTTACTAGAGGCCCAGTGCACAAAAATTTGTGCCCTCGGGGGGGTACCTCAGCCTGGCCTATGCCCTCTGCAGTATGGGGACCCCTCGGAGGATGTCCACCTGCTGGCTTAGGCCCACTCCCTGGGGGATCGGGCCCAAGCTGGCAGTCAGGCATCCCTCTGGCAGCCCGGCAGCCCTCGGGGGATGTCCACTTGCCAGTAGGGAGCAGGCCTAAGCTGCACTCGGACATCCTTAGCGCTGCTGAGGAGGCGGGAGAGGCTCCCACCACCACTGCTGTACTGGCAGCCGTCAGCCTGGCTTGTGGCTGAGTAGAGCTCCCCCTG